ACTCATGAATAATCATATCGGCACCTAAAACCAGCTCACACACATCATGCAGTGGAAATATCAACCTCAAGCCATACAGTCACGTGCGATGAGTAGTTCAGCCGTTTGACTGTGTCGAGAGATGAACCCAAGAACTCTGGAATAGTTGGTTAGGCACCTCAATCTATGTTTGAAATGTTTTGAACATCTATGCAATGTACCGCCAATCTGACAAGTCTAAGTGAAGATAGAGAGCCAAAAGCACTTCTGGACGACTTTGCCTCCAGCGGTTCCGATTTTGTTCTAATTGAAGTCAAAGCGTACTGTACTTAGTGTGTCTTCACCAAGGAATCTCCCAGGAAGTAACCAAATTCGTCCGTCTTTGGCTTGGAACCATGAAGATGTTGCATTTCTTCGCAAAGCAGGGAGCAATCTTCATGACAAGAGCTTCAAGACGTTTCCAGGTTTTAGTCTATCTTGTACATCGCGGGTCTGGTTCATGTGGGACACGGATATTCATGGCCGCCAAAAGGACAAGCCCATTCTGGATTTCAAAGAACAGAATAGGGGTACCTTTGATCCGCAGATCTTACGTGTTTATTGTTCGAACTTGCCACCGTCGCCACGACACCTATGCGCGTGCAGGTAGCAAATCGCTGACAAGATCTGGCGAATGTACCTTCGACTGGCCACTCGGTCGACAGGTCAGAAAAGGTCTTTTCTGTGCAAAACGCACTTTCTCTATATATATATATACTTCCAGATCTTCAAACTGAGACCAACAACTAGATCTCTTCTAGATTGCTTTCTAACAACTGACCTTTCACACCCATGGACCATCTTCTCAAGTCTCCATCATCTACATCACTTGGGCCCACTTTGCTGCGTGGTGCTCGTCAAATCCACTGGGCGCCTGGTGACGGCGTTTTTTGGCACCGCCGTGAACCGAAATGCTCTCCCACAAACGAAGGATGGGCAAGATATTTCAGATGATGCATACTCACTTGGTGGCTTGATCCAAAGCGACCTGAATAGCAGTAGTTGGTGACAGTAGGAAATAAGACTCGAATAGACTTTGAATGACCTTGAATGGACTATTGATGACGATTGAAACAGGTTCAAATTAGATTGTTCCAATGTGCAAAATTAAACGATCCATTTTCGGGGCCACGTATTATTCCTTAACCGTTCACGACTGTTTGAGATCTTTTAGTCTGAAGGTTCCACATGGCGCGAGTGGTGTCGAAACCAAACACCTCGCAGGTGGGCATCTCCTTTGACGGACTCACTCCATACTGACCGTTCGAATCGTCGCTCCACACAAATCGTCGGCCCCAGTCATCCCCTCACTCGCCTCATCCACGATGCGGTCAAAGAGCTCGCCCCCAGTGCAAAGCTCCATGACCAAGTAGATCTGCCAAAAAGAAGCACGAAAGACAAAAGGAGAGTGCTTTGAGAGGCCGAAATTGCGTTTCGGAGAGCGTTTTCACCGGGCAGAACGAACGCCGGTCTCTCGCAGCGGGCACCGCGGCTCCATGGCTTGAGGCACGTGCTTTCCCCTGTGCATCCCCGTGCCTTCTTTGCATCTTTGAAGGTCTCGTAGAGCCTGGCTTTGGACAATGAAAAATAGATTAAAAACGAACATATACATAGCAATGCAATGAGTTCAGAGTGGGCATTGCATGTTGAACTCTGCTTGCTTGCTGCTGAACTCGTCATACCCGCATACCCTTTCTCACCAGTGTTGATAGGGTCAAAAATCTGTTAACATCTCCGCCAAGCTCCTCCCTTCGCAAAGCAATCAATGTCTCAATCCCGTGATCGAGGCATCCATAACAGCCCTTACGTAGTTTGGAGGGTTACTCATGCTTGTACTCCTTTCCCCGTACCCGAGCATCTGCCGGTACGTCTTAATAGAACGGGCATGTCCCTTTCAAGGAGGGCCTATATCCTTTACAGGCATTCGCCAAATTCTTGAAATTCAACACCCTCTCTTTCCTAATTGGTCGCAGATGTGGGTGGTTGCTCACCTGGGTATTGTGCAACCTCCACTTTCCGAGGAATCGCGACTCCCACACCAAAAGACACGCCCCCAACTGGGGTGAGCCCCCAAATGAGGTGAGACCTTGGTTTTGGTCGCCCCAAACAACCGGGTGCGGTTGACCTGGTATGTCGCCTGACCGCAGACCTCTCAAACCGCCAGAACCGTGGGGCACCGGGGGGCGAAACCACATAAGGCACCGGGCCGGACCACGTTTGGATGATCCAGCTTCTTGGCGATGTGGATCTCTCGCTGAAACCTGGCGGAGGCGATGGAGGTTCCGTGGGAAGAAGGAGGTTGAGCGAAGGGACCTGAATTGGTCCGAGACGGACTCTGCCAGTTGCGCCTGGACAATGGAGGTGAACTGACTCATGAAGCTTTTTCATCCCATTTAGGTGGGGAATGCCATCTCCAACAAAAGGTTTTGGATCCACTCTTCCTGGGGAAAGCCGACCTGATGGTCCGAGCGGCCGACCTGGAGCGGCCGACCTGCGATGTTCGTTCCGCCGAAACAAACACCGTCGCCTCGTGGGATTTTTCACCCCGCGGATTTCGATGGCTTTCACGGCCTTAGACCCGTAGAAACCAAGGAAGACCGCATGAGTGAAGAAAGAGGCATAGCTATGGCATAGCTGGCTTTTACAGAAAGCTTATGTCAGTCTCAAAACAACGTGTCTTGTCCTGTTGTAAGAATGCATTCATCGGATCTCACTGCGGTTCACACTATCACTAAGACAAACAAAACAACCGACTGTTAATCACCATGCATGGACTTGATAGGAGTCCCGCTTGTGCCAAAAAAAATGGGAACTTTGATACCGCAACAGGAACAAACTCTTCGTGAGTATCGCAAGATGCAGGAGGCCTTCTCAAACTCTGACTGGGCATAGAAATCCAGCTGCACAGCAAACAACTGGAACCCTTCAGGCAAGGAGCGCGCTCTTGCCCCGTGTGCCTGGCTGACAAAGCGTTAGGCTCTTGGCGCTATTGACACGAACGTGGGATGGACGTGTCCAAAAGGTTGGATCTTCCAACCTTCAGCAGCCCCCAAGACCCAACCACAAGACGCAACACTCCTGTGGCCACCTTTGACCACGGTGGGCCACCCTGCCATTGGTTGGTCCTTCATGGCCGCCTTCCCTGGGCCATTCGCAGCCCTTTTCCTCTGGCGCAGCCGCATCGTCAGCCGTCTGCGCCTCTTTGACCTGCGAGGAAAGCACCCACATCAAAAGCTTCACATGTGCCGCGCTGCATGGAGGTGACAAGATGTGCTAAAGCACAAACAATAACATGAACTCTTCAACCAAATGTTCTGGGTTCACAGGTTCATATCACTCTTCGATCTCTTTTGGAAGATTTGACGCTAAAGCCGCTAAGCCTGCCCCTTTCAAACCTCAGGCCATTGAATTGCTCGGCCAGCCTGTCGTGGCCAGCCAATCAGCTTCAAACAACAGCACCAAAAGACTCCACCTGGGCGTCTGGTGTGAACCATCCATGAATGGAAATCACAGCATCTGACTATTTGATCAAATACCCCTCGTTAGTTTAGGACATGAACTCTGAGAGCCTCAAGCCCACGCTTTCAAAATGTCGGAAATTCCAGCAGGAACCAAAATACGGTTTGTCATGCTCACAGGCTCAAGCAAAGTGATGCGCACAGCTCCAAACCGGCATGGGTAACAAAAGCCTACCATACTACTTGTGTACATATGTATGTATGAATATATGATATATATATATATTCCATTCTCTCTCTCTCTCTCTCTAAATATTAACATACAGTAATTACACATAATCAAACGTGCTCTTTTCTATCGCCGCAACAAACATGCAGCGCCGCAACACGGATGTCTGAGGCCAGCACAAACACTACCTTGGAGCCGTCTGTCTCACACTAGGAAGGCTGGGGTGACTCCAGGGTTCCCGATGTGTTCTCAGCCAAACCTTGTTTTTCAGGGACGGTTCGCTTGCAGAATCGAAGGCCAAAGCACCGCCTCGAAGTTCATTGAGCCAAGGGATCCCAAAAAGCTCCAAGTCTGAGAATCAAGAAGAAAACCAAGTCTTCTGGCCCCCTCTAAGACCAGACATTTCCTCACACTGCAGGGCCTCTGTTTTCAGGTGGGAAGGTTTTTCCACGCCTTGGGTTTCGCACCGAATCTCCATCCCTTTCGTTTCGCCACGCAGCAGTAAAGCGTCATGATGAAGGCGGTGAGCAGAATAGCCTTGACTCAAGGCATCAAGAAACTGGTGTGCCTTTTGAATAGACCATTGCGTTTTGCAGCTTTGCATCTTGTCATGAATCGTTTTGGAACAAGCTCCACCCAAGCTCAAGCACAACCATTGTTACATGGTTGTCTTTGGCGGTGTCTGCGTTGTCTCACTCTGCAAGTCCTGCTGTACTGTTCATGAAAGAAATCTGTCGCCACCATGCCCCTGGGCAACCTATCAAGTCGAAGAAAGACAACGAATAGACATAAATTTGTGTTAAAGTACTACTAGGAGCAAGGACGCTACTAGGAACAAAGGGCATCGCTACGAACGGAGCGATCGGACTCTTTTATACTCTGTGTTATATATTTATTCATTTGTATATAAGTTAGACTGAGTAGTTATTCACCAGGTTTAGGGGTTCAGGTATACCTTTAAAGCGTTGATTCTCACTTGCTGCATCGCAACCAATTCCCTGAAAGTTCGTCAATCCCGGCTGTGGTTTTAGCGCACCTGCCAAAACGTAAAAAGAAGCCCTGAACATAGCATTAAAAAGCGTAGAAATATGTAGAAAAGGACCGTCAGACCTCAACCTCCCCTTGTGATTAGCTGCGGGAACAGTGTTCCTCCTCCAAATCCCCCGTACAGACGCTGGACTGGTACACTCCGCACATGATGCGAGTGCAAGGGCGCAAGTGAGAATCTAGCAATTCCAAACCACTCCCACTAGCATGAGCAGCCCATAAAAAAAAGGCTTTCAAAGATGAATGATTAAAAAAGCTTTAATGGGCTGAATGATCAGAGTTTAAACGCTTTTCAATGGTTTTGAAGCACATCTCTTAAAAGCTTTAAAAAGGAGCACCGTCGAGCACCGTCTGAGGTCTCCGTGAGAGGTGTGAGGTGTCGTATCCCGCCAGGTCACCGATCGATGCCACAGGCGTACGGCCTGGGACGAAAGAAGGGGACGACCACGGCCACCGGGTGAGACTTGGCAGGAAGCAACCCCAACCAGGTGCTCAGGTGCTCAGCTTCAAAGCCACGCGAACTTGAAAAAGACCCGAAGAATATAATTACGGGACATCCAACTGGAAATCACTGAAACCTGCTATAGGCATTCAACGCAATTCGCTACGGGTCTTCGCCCGAGCTCAGCGGAAGTCCGCCGAGTCCAAGCCGATTGGAACCCCGATTCGAACCCACGTGATTGGCCTGGGCGAGGTGATAGGTGCCCAGTGCAGGGCGGCCATGCAAGTAGAAGAAGCGGCCCAAGTTGGCTTGCACTTCACCTGCCCCCGAGGAGGCCGTGAAGTGTCTTTTGAATTGATTTGATAGGTACTGGGTACTATGCAGACATGAGATTGTTTCTCCGGATGTGTATCGATCGAGCTCGAGAAGAGCAGAAAAATGAAACCTACTGGCCGTGGCTACGAATAGATCTACCGACATCTCTCCCTGGCAGAGCAGGAAACGACCGTGACCCCGCTGCATCCCATTGATCCCTCTGAGTGCCAAGCCATCCTCTGGCCGCAAACGCACCGCATAGAGCAAGGCGTCCTCAGCAGCTGAAGCGCTGCTCCGTCACAGGTGCCATGCCCGTCACAGGTGCCCGTCACTGCCAGGGCCACCATGCTCCAACTGAAAGGCTGGCTTGGTTGTTTTTGAGACCTTCACCTTGGCCTTTAAGTGTCGGGTTCAACAAAGAAACAAAGAGAAGAGACATATCCATCTCAAGAAGCATCTTTGAGATGGGTGAAGCTGGTCTTCTTGTTGGCGACATCTTGCTGCAGAAACATCAGAGCTGTTCCCTATTGTGAAAGGGCTCTAACTTTGCCAAGGATCAATGGCTGCTGGCATATGACCCTGACGGTACTCCGCGATAGCCAAGTTATTCAAGGCACCGGGCGAATGAGGGTCCTGCAACACATGTCGCTGCTGTAAGGACAGGTAGGGCCATGAAGAGGACCCAAAAACACCCAAAAAGCAAATGCAGCTCCGCTAACCACAAAAGTCAGAACCAAAGAACCACTATATTATATATTATATATATATATATAACAAGAATCACCCGGCACGGCACATCAACCCAAAACATCTACAACACCATCCTCCCATCACCTCCGGACCCCCGGACCCCCGTCCTCCAGTGCCACGCGCCGAAGCACCTCCGCGGCCTCCTTGGGGCGCCCCGTCTGCAGCAAGTGACTGCCATAGATCCGACGAAGCCCCAGGGGTGCCGGCACCAGCGCCGCCGGCGTCCCCGCCGTCTGCCCGGGTACTTCCGGGCGGTACGGTACGACACCAAGCGGTTCACGCAGGTCAAAGATCCAGTGACATCCAAAGCGGTCATAGTTGGACATAAGAGGACTTGGGAAAGGGAAGTTGGTAGAGTACGCTCATGGAAAAAGGGTGGAGCGACCGGAACTTTCTTGGGTGCTTCGAAAGGGTTTTTACGGGCTCAAAAGGTAGAATATCCGTTCAACCACCATTCCATGGTCGAGTTGAAAGATACTTCCGAAACCAGCTCATGTTCGTCTGAATCTAAATGATATTACGGAGCCAGCCTTCTTGGCTTGACTCCTGTGCGCCAGGAGCTTCCAGCTGCCCGTGTCCTGAAAAAATATCAAAAGTCCATAGCTGGATCTGAAGCACTGAAGTTCTTTTCTACACTTGGAGTCCAATTCGAGCTGCTTGTTTGATTGAGGAACCTAAACATCCAATGAATTGTGAAGGGGTGGAACTGGCGTGGGAGAGAAACTCTCTTGCCAAATGGATCTGTTGATTCTCCAGTTCTTCTATGTTTCCCTATGTTCCAAGCCCATTGAAACCACCGCATCATCTAAGCCTCCCATCACCGGACGACCTTAGACCTCCTTAAAGACCCCCTTGGAAGAAGGAACATAGACCAAAATCCCGGTTGGGGATCTCCCCATGAAAATACACACAGGTATCCTCCGGTTGTTCCACCCAGTCCTGGATGGCGCGCAGGTGCGCCCCCATGGCTTCGGCCAAAAGCCCATCTTTGATGCGACCCCGGATCCAGGCCACCAGCGCGCGCCTGATGTCCACAAAGACTACCCTCCCTCCGAAGTGGAAGTGGATGGCATGGCCTTTAGGAAGAGGATGTTCCGAATACTAAACTAAACCAAAGGGGTCAACTCTACGAAACCATGATGGTTGAAGTTGGAGGGTATATAGACACAGCATCTCATCTGCTCATCATGGTGAAAACCCCTCAGAGCGGGATTGCAGGAAACTTGCGGGACTGCAGGGATGACATGGTGTGAATGAGGTCACAATGCAGTCGTGTCATGGAAAATCCCAGCCTTTCTCCCTTCACAACAGGGTAGACGCTGTGCGCCATGTAGGACGGAAAGACCACCTTGGTGTGTCTGGCGACCATCTCCGGATGCTTGCAGCTTGAAACAGATCAAGGGACAAAGTTCACATCCTGCTGGCCATTTTCGGCTACGTGCCAAGTGGCAAGAGCAGCTTTGAGTTCTTGACGGCCCAGAGTTTGTGCTGAGCATCAAGGGACCGGCCTTTGCTGTGTAGCTTCCAAAGACCAATACATGGGCTACAACCAGACCTCGCTGGTTAGGACTCTGTACAGAAAATCT